GTGTCCTCCACCAGGAAATCACGGGATGTATCAGTAATCCCATCGGAGCTCCTTACGCTAAGAGTTGAGTCAGCAGTCTCCGTTCAGTGGCCCAGAGAGCTCGGCCCTTTACGTCAAGTCTTGCTCAATACCTTCCTCTCACGTGGCATTTCTTCTATGGCATTTCTGTTTTTAAGGGAAAAAATGCAGAGATAAGATATGCTCAAGCAAAGTCATTGAAGTAACCTTTAGCACTGTCTCCAAGTCACTTGACTTGGCTTAACCTTACTTTTTTCTTTTGGGTGTGAGTGCTTGGCTCTGACCGAAAGCCCTTTTGAATTGAGTAAGTTGGGAGGAAAGCAAGTAATTCCAAGGACCCAGGAGAGGATCACTGCTTGGCTTGAGACCTCTGAGTATGGAGGCAAAGCACGAGGCATGGTGGTGGAAGCCTTGAGCCCTTACCTGAGCCTGTCCCCATCTGTGAAATGGGCATAAAAGAGTCTGCCTATCAGGGAGGTGGTGAGGAGCCCAGGAGCATAGGGGAGCACTAACAGGATAGGCTGAATATGTTTTCTAAAATGTATGGTCTTATTGAAGCGTCTTCTACAGATCGTATATAATTCACCCATTTTAAGTGTTTAATGATATTTTAGTGCTTTTAGCAAGTTGTGCAAACATCACCATAAATCGGTTTTAGAACATTTCCATCTCCCCAGTAAGATCCCTTGAGCCAATTTCCAGTCCCCAGCTGGAGGCAACTACTAGTGTACTTTGTAATTCTGTAAGTTTGCCTTTTCTGAACATATCGTATAAATGGAGCCCTGCAATGTGATCTTTTGTCTGGCTTCTCTTAAGGTCATGTTTTTAAACTTTATCTGTGTAACACATATCAGTACTTCATTCCTTTTATTGCCAAGTAGCATTCCATTGTATGGTTAAATCACATTTTGTCTGTTTACCACTCAATGGATATTTGGGTTGTTTCCTTTTTCCTTTTTTTTGCCTATTTGAAGCATTCTGCTAAGAACATTTGAGTACAGATCTTGGTGTGGATAAATGTTTTTGTTTCTCCTGGCAGATACCTAAGAGTAGAATTCCCAGGTCATAGGGTGAATTTATACTTAACTATTAAAGAAATTTAAACTATTTTCCAAAATGGCTGCATCATTTTACATTCACACAAGCAGTGGATGAAGCTTCCTGGTTTATCCTCACCAGTACTTGTTATTGTCTGTCTGCTGTGAGCTCATTGTGGTTTGAGTTTGCATTTCCCTAACAAGTCATGATTGTGAACATCTTCTTTTTGTGCTTATCAGTATATCTGGTTAGGTGAGATGTTTATATAAATTTTTATCTGTTTTTGATTGAACCAAGAGTTCTCTGCATACTCTACGTACAAGTCCTCAGATATGTGTTTTGCAAGCATTTTCCTCTCTGTTGCTTATCTTTTCACTTTCTGACTGGTGTCTTTTGAAGTACTAAAATTTTATGTTTTGTTGTTGTCCAGTCTGTCATTTTTTTTTTTTCTTTTATAGACCATGCTTTTGGTGTCATATCTATGGCATCTGTGCAATTACAGTTCAAGATTTCAAAGATTTTCTCCTGTGTTATCTTATAAAATTTCGTTTTAGCACTTACATTTAAGCATGATTCATTTTGAGTTAATTTTCATATATGGTATGAGGTGAGAGTCTAAGATCATCTTTTGGCATGTAAATATCCAGAATTTCCCAGCACCACTTGTTGATAAGATTCTCCTTTCCCAGGGTAGTTCTGAAAACAGGAAGTGAAAGTTCTCCAGCCTTCTTCATCTTTTTCAGTATATGTATATATTTTTACTATTGTAGTTACATATAAATTTTGGCATTATCTTGTCAATTTCTGAGGAAATCCCTGCTGATCAGTTTTTTAAAAAAATTTCTGAGGGGGAGAGGAGAGGTATTTCATTTTTATTTTTTTTATCTTTTGTCTGTACTGCACGACATGTGGGATCTTAGTTCCCCAACCAGGGATCGGACCCGTGCCCCCTGCAGTGGAGACACTGGAAGTGTGGAGTCTTATCCACTGGTGGTGTTAGTTGCTCAGTCATGCCCAACTCTGTGACCCCATGAACTGCAGCCCACCAGGCTCCTCTGTCCATGGGATTTTCCAGGCAAGCATACTGGAATGGGTTGCCATTTCCTTCTTCAGGGGATCTTCCTGACCCAGGGATTGAATCCAGGTCTCCTTCACTGCAGGCAGTCTCTTTACCGACTGAGCTAGTTTTTAAAAACTTTAAGGGTGGTAATGTCTTTTGATCCATGAGCATGACATATCTTTCTGTGTATTTAGATCTTCTTTAATTTTCCTCAGCAGTTTTATAATTTTCAGTGTATAAGTCTTACACGTCTTTTGCTAAGTTTATTCCTAAGTTTTTGTTTTTTGGTGACCCTGCTTTATGGTGTCTAACAGGAGAGATAAATAATAGGCTGGTTTGCACTGAGGTGAGTGGGTGGGTGTGCCTGCACACTCCAGTTTCATTGAAAAGGTTAAATCTGACATAATATTTGTTTGATTTTTTTTCTTATGAAATAGAAGACAAATATCTATATAATGTGCCTGCAATGTAAAGAATAATAATAAAATGAATACCTATGTACTTTGTACTGAAAGGCTTGTTGCTGAGCCACGAAAGACTCCGGGATTCTTGGCCTCCGGAGGAGAATTCACTCTGGGGCCAGAGATGAGGCTTGATCGCTCAGAGCTTTTGTGTAATAAAGTTTTATTAAAGTATAAAAGTGATAGAGAAAGCTTCTGACAGAGACATCAGAAGGGGGCAGAAAGAGTACCTCCTGGCTAGTGTTAGCAATGGAGTTAAATACCTTTTAATTAGTTATTACAATGAATCAAAAGAATGTCTGGAGGTTGTAAAGATCTTACTGGACCCACTCCCATAATTTACATTTTTTTTTTTTGATAATTTACGTTTTAAGATAACAGGATTAGCCAGAAGGTTTTCAGGAAGGAGAAACTGTCCTCAAGAAGGATACATTGTTGTTGTACAGTCCTTAGTACAGAGTTTAAACTGAGTTGTTTGTTGTGTAATCATCAGTTCCAGGCTTAAAGATGAAAACTTGAGACTAAGACTAAGGAATGTAGAGGAAAAAAAACCTTTGTCCTTTTCTCCTCCTTGAGAATTCCAGACCCCTCTCTCCTTGGGGACCCCTGGACTGCTTATCAACCCACCTTAAGGATTGACTCTCTCAGTACCCGCAGTCCCCTGTCTGGTCCAATCTTGACCCCGCCAGAGGGCAAGATCCTTAGATTTCTTTTACTTCACTTTAGAGTTTACCATCTGGGTATTTAACTAAACAACATAATGTTTCCTATAGCCTGTTTTGACCTTTATTTGAATGTAATCATAGTGAATTTTTTTTTTCTAGCATTTGTTCTTTTTCTCATTATGTTCCTGAGATTCATGTATCTTGAAGCATGGTTTGTATTTCATTCATTTTTAGGTATTCCATTTGTGTGAGCTTTATGGTACTCCCATTATATGAACATCAGACAGTTTATTTTTCTGTATTGTCTGAAAGCAAGATCAGGTTCGATGTATGACAAAACCCACTATAATATTGTAAAGTAATTAGCCTCCAACTAATAAAAATAAATTAAAAAAAAAAAAAGGGAGGGGGGATCAGGATGGGGAATACATGTAACTCCATGGCTGATTCATGTCAATGTATGACAAAACCCACTACAATATTGTAAAGTAATTAGCCTCAAACTAATAAAAATAAATGAAAAAACAAAAAAAGATCAGGTTCTGGAGTCAGAATGCCTAAAATCTTTCACTTTGAGCTGTGTGACTTGGACAGGTCACCTCCCGTCCCTAAGCTTTGACGACCTCACTGTGAAATGGGAATCACTGTCACAGAGGGGTGTGATGAGAATTAAATGAGATGGTACATAGAAAGTCTGAGCATAGTGCCTGGCAAGTAGAGCAAGTCCATAAATGTATGTTTTCATATTCAGTTATCTATTCATCTAATAGCTCTTGAATGCCAGGTCTTGGACTCACCCACACAACATTTAGCAACTATTTTGAGCACCCATTTTTGCTATAAAGTCCATTTGTTTGGGACATCTACAGGCAGAATGCTAGGATTGGTGGTGTGTGAGCTCTATTTCAGTTGCTCTGCTAAGAGCTGTTTAGAACATGATCTGTGGACATACAATTTCTGAAGCCCTCTTCTTTAGAGAGGTAAGTAACTGGGCACGGCATTTCTTTTATACTCTGCCCTAGGAAAGACATAATTAAATAAAAGCAGAAAGGTAGGTAACATTTTCCCCTTTTGTCCTGAAATGATTTCCGTGTCATGGAGTGTAGTCTGTATCATCTGAAAAAGGAAGCAAAAATTGTCTTGACCTTTTTATGGACAAGGAATCTCATTAGCAAAGTTTTTCTTTTACCTTTACTATGGTCACCCTTGTTATTTTTTTTTTAAACTAAAGAACACATTCCTCATTTTAGTTCCTGAGCTGAATTTTTGAGTTTTTCACTCAGTTCTCTGAACAGCAACTGTGGCGGTTAGGGTTACTGGAGCCAGAAGAATCCTGTGTGATACAGAACTAACCGCTAAGCTTTTAATCTCTTGGTTTATCATTCTGTCATTCTGTTCTTCAGCCCTAAATCAGTGCTTTCAGGAGCCTTTTCTATGGTGTGGAAAATGAAAATAACTTATTCAGGACTTTCAAAAGCCCTTGTTTCCTGTAGATGTGGTGGTGGTAGGTTTGTGTGTGAGTGAGTGTAGTCCACATATTACACTAACTGCCTGATGAGAGTTTCATGGTGAAGGGTGGATTTTTAAAAATTGAACTGAAAAAGGTAAATGAATGTGTTTTAAACTGATTTAAATACCTGACCAATAGGGATTGGGACACAGCACCTCTTCCATGAGAAAGAACACGTTGCTCATGAAAACTTCCAAATTGGCTTCTTCTGGGCAAAATCTAACACTTGACAAAACCCCTTCTCCCAGGCAGATGCGTGCCACGCCTACCAGATCGTTCACCGAAATGGAATCCCTGATGAGCAGATCATCGTGATGATGTATGATGACATCGCCAACTCTGAAGAGTGAGTATGGAGGCCTTTGGTGGTGAGGAACTTCAGGGCGTTTAAAAAAAATACAGATTCTCAGGAATTCTTAGATGGGCAGCCTAACATTAGAATGTAAGCTGACTCCCAGCTGAAATTCCACCCACCTACTTCATGTAGAGCTTTGACTATAACTTGGTGGAACCCAGCAATGACAAGGACATAGCAAATGGTAGTGAAGGTGCTGAGGTTCGGGCTTTGCAAGCTTTAAAGCATGAGTTTCCTTTCGGCTTGGAGAACCAACTCATCACTAGGTTCAGCGGTGTTTGTTCCTGACCTCTGTGCCGGGGCGCCTCGGAGGCCTGTGCACAGGAGGCTCCTTTGTAGCTTAGATCCTCCCACCCTTCTTTCTATATGTATTTCCTTCTTTAAAAAATTGCTGAATTTAATTTTACAAACCGTTCTCTCATGCCTGCTTGTCTGATTTCTTGAGGAGATCAGAAACAGCAGGTATGGGGCACTTCCTCTGGTGGTGCACTGGTTAACACTTCGAGCTTCTGGGCAGGGGGCTCAATCCCTGGTCAGGGAACTGGATCCCACGTGCCAAGTGGCTCACCCTTTCCTCCCCCACTGCCAAAAAAAAAGCAGCAGCAGGTATGGGTGTGACTCTAACCCGTTCTAGTCTCCCAGCTCCTCGGTTCCCAACTGTGCCCTTTCCAGTGATCACATGATGGTTCCTAATCCATTCTGAGCTTTAATGCCTAAGCTCTTGCATGAAAGCCTTGTTTTTTGTTCTCGCTCTGAAAGTAGTTTTTCTCTGAGAGATCTCTTGATGAGATCTCCCCTCCAACATGCCAGCTGGTGTCCATCAGGAGGCCAGGTACACGGGGGCCTGGGTTCCTGTCCTCAGTTTGCAGAGCTCAGCCCTTCACTGCTCCAGCTAGGAGCTCAGGACTTGTGGGACCCCAAGACCTTCGGGCTACTAAAACCACTACCATGCTGGGGACCTGGGTGGGTGATGAGAAGTGTCTGTGACAGTCATGACTGTTTAGTCCTTTTATGCATGACCGGAACATATTTATGAAGATGCAGATTTCAGAGATACATCAAATTGTGTGCTTCATTGAGTCCTTTGATTTTCAGCAATCCCACCCCGGGAGTTGTGATCAACAGGCCCAACGGCTCAGACGTGTACCAGGGCGTGGTGAAGGACTACACGGGCGAGGTGAGGCGGAGCGCGGGGTCGGAGCCGGCGGGGTCTGCTTCGTTTCAACGATGCTTTTCCCCTCTTCCTTGTACTTCTGGAATCAGGGCCTCATTAGACAGATTTGTGGCCAGCATCTTGTGGTTATATTGAGATTTGTGCCTGAGGCATAATTTCTGTGAATTTTGAAATAAAGCAGAAAGAAGAAAAAAAAGTATTAGTGGTAGTCTACCAATCTTCTATTTCTAGTTTTATTATACTTTAAATCTCAGTAGTTTTCTTTCCATAATACCTGATTTTCTTAAGATACTGTCATTAATCTGATTATAAACTATTTGTGTCCTTTTCTGAAAATCAACTTTCTCAAAGGCCAGCCCTGGTGCAAAGTAGTATCTCTGAATTTTGCTGAGATAGTTTTCCATCATTATTGTAATAGTATATCACTTCCAAAGTATTCTTCCCAATTGATTGAGGGTATATATTGGGTTGGCCAAAAAGTTTGTTTGGTTTTAGGTAAAAATAAAAGACATTTTTCATTTTCACAATGAACTTTATTGAACAGCATATTCATTAACCAAACAACTTTTTGGCCAACCCAGTACATTGACACATTTTTAAAAACACCATAATTTCATTAGCCTTCTGGATTTCATACCCTCTTTCTCTTAATTTCAGTGGAATCTTTTAGAAACCAATATTTCTCGTGAGAGAGAAATATTTCTATGAAGTTTAGCAGTTCTTCCAGTTTTATTTTTCTCTTTTAAATTCAAGAACAATTAAATCAGATACATCATTCATACAACATAGATGATCCCATTTTTGTGAACTTGTTTCCATAGACTTATTTAAGGAAATGTCCAAAATTTAGGTGGTGGAATTTCTGGTGATTTATATTTTTTGCTCTGTGCTTTTTTGTAATTTGTTTTTTTGTTTTAAATAATCAGATATCCATTTTACAAAGTCCCCTTTAAGGGATGTTTTTGGGATTCAGCCTTTGAGGAGGCAGGCCAGTTGCAAAGGTCGGCACAGAAGTTTCCGTCTCCATCTGTGTTGTGTCTCTGAGGCCACATGCTCTTCCTCTGCTGTTTGTCCCTTCCTGCTGACATCTTTGGGTTTCTCCACCTGGACTTTCTGATGGTCAAGAAGAAACGGCAGGCTTGCTGAATGGCATCAGCCAAAGACCAGACGATGCTTGAGACAGGGTCACGCACATGTCCTGGGAACCCTGACCTTGCTTTGGGTCTTCTTGGTGACAGAGTGTTTGCCCTTCATCTCTAAGCCTTGGAGGTGTGTGGGCATGGCCTGGGCCCTCTGCTACAGACTCAGCACACGCAGTGATTTGAAGTGACTGCCGCATCTGATTTCAACTCCCGATTTTTCGTAGGATGTCACCCCGAAGAATTTCCTTGCTGTGTTGAGAGGTGATGCAGAAGCAGTGAAGGGCGTAGGGTCTGGAAAGGTCTTAAAGAGGTAACGTCTGTTTTATGGCTGTCCCTTTGTTCTGAATGACCTGGTACTCCAGAATCGAGAATTCATTTAGGCCTTGTTCTTGCTTCCGGCCTGTTTACTGGTGAGAGATGGCAGCGTGGGGACCTTTGTCCTGACAGCCTGCACAGAACCTGTGGCTTCTCTTGGCAGCTGTTTCTGTAACAAATTAACCCTGTGATCCAGGATCCCTTGTTACTCTGAATGAAACGGTCCCCATCGCTTAAACCTGCTACTAGTCTATTGGAACACCCTGAGGCCAGCGTGAAGCTCTGCGGCCAGTCAGGTTGTAGGACCCCCACCCAGCCTCCCGCCGGCCTTGTGCTCTGATGGCAGGTCAGCCCAGTGGGAGGAGGACATTGATAAGTTCAGAGCAAACCTCCGTGTTGAAGAAAACTCATCCCAGTGCTTGCCCTCCTGGCTGTGGGTGAGAGATGTCCCGTGTAGCATCTCTTTATGCAGCATTTTGACATGACGTCAGGGAGCTCGGGAGCATGGCCTCAGAGTCTCAGGTACTAGGCAGCTGGTGCTGTTCTGCTCGTATCTGAGGGGAGACCTGCGCTCAGGTAGCTGCTATGAGTTAGAGCAGAGAGGGATATCTCGAGCGGGATAAACCAGATTGCCTCCAAGTGAGTTGTTACACCTCTGCCATCTTGGAACAGGGCCCTCCAGTGAGGGAGCACCGGTGGCCGTCCCAGGCTGTGTGCAGGCCGAGGGCCCTGGAGGGCAGTCGGAACTGACCACATTTGGTGGCATGTCCTGGCTCCCTTACTCGTTTTGGGGATATCTGGTAGGAGAGTGTGGCCGCCTGGGATGAGGCCCAATGGCCAAAGGCCCCCACTCTCCCGATCACTCTGGGCTGTCTGCTGAGCTCCGTCCTGGGCTTCCAGGCTCTGGGATGTGCCTCGTGGTTCAGAGTAGCACTCAGCGGGATCAAAGGGAACAAGCCACACAGCGGTCTCTTGTGCTCCTCCTCCGACCTGGTTGGGAGACTGTGATCCTCAGGCTTCTCCTTAAGTTTTTTGGCTGGAGTGACTTCTCAGAGACACGGAGCAGGAAATGGCCCACCTCGACTCTCATGCTTGTCTGTGTGTCTCTTGGCAGTGGCCCCCGGGACCACGTGTTCGTTTACTTCACGGATCACGGAGCCACTGGAATACTGGTGTTTCCTAACGAGGATGTGAGTTTCTTAATGTTTTAGAAACAAGCCGTGGGGAACTCCCGGGGTTTCAATAGTTAGGACCTCTGCACTCTCCCTGCCAAGGGCTCGGGTTCGATCCCTGGTCAGGGAAATAAGATCCTACAAGCTGAGAAGGGTAGCCCCTCCCCACCCCCCCCAAAAAAAAGGCAAGCAGGGAGAACAGGAAACAAAACCTCAGTGTCGGCAGTACACCTGTGATGTGTGTCTGTAATGTCCTACATTACATGGTTTACATTACATTACATGGGGTGGTTTCTGTGCAGCTGGTGAGTATGCGGCTGCATTTAGCAGTTTGAAATCTATCCAGAGGCGTCTCTTGTGGCAAGTTTTCCCTGCATGTCTACTGACATCACAGTATCAGTCACTGACCCTCAACTTGGGTGCCTGCACGAGACGCAGTCATAGAACACAGCCCTGAGCGCTCTGGGCAAAGTGATGAGGAGGCACATCTGCTTCCTCTCTTTGATATGTGAACAAAGCCCTTGACGATGTTCTGGGATGCTGTACACCATAATCATCTCTAAGGATTTCTAAATAAGAATTTATAAGGCATCACTGGGACTTGATTAGTGGGTTATCCAGCACATGGTTTCTCTTGAAGTGTTTGGTCTGAGTGTCCATATTCTTACCTTTCAGCTTCATGTAAAGGACCTGAATGAGACCATCCATTACATGTACGAACACAAGATGTACCAAAAGGTAATGTCGGTGCTTGGGGCGGCCTTGGGGAAAGGATATGAGGGAGGCAGTGGGAGCAGAGCCCACGGTGCTGTGATGGGCCTTCTAACTCTGGATTGGCTGTGTTTTTTTTTTTTTTTTTGGAATAGGTGTCCTTTCCGTCAATCTTGACCTCTGGTCTCCCAGGAATAACTTTGTTGTGATTCTCAAGCTTCAGCTATTCGGTCAGATTCACTGGCAATCTTGTTAAAACACAGTGTGGGAGCTTTCCTAGTGGTCCAGTGGTTGAGAATCTGACTGCCACTGCCGGGACATGGGTGTGATCCCTGGTCCAGGACAATCCCACGTGCCTGGGAGAAACTAAATGTATGTGCCACAACTGCTGAGCCTGCTCTCTGGAGCCCATGCTACACAACAAGAGAGGCCACTGCAATGAGAAGCCCTCCCACCTTAACTAGGGAAAGCCCGCACACAGCAACAAAGACCCAGTGCAGTCAAAAATACAAATGAATTAAAAAAACAAAAAGCACAGTATGGACCCCACCCCCAGCATTTGACTCTGTTTCTGGGGGGAAGCCCCAGGGTCTGCCTTTCCAACAATGTTCCTAGTCCAGGGACCACACTTTGGAGATTGCTCTTTCTAAGATTGTCACCAGTCTGGGGCGGCTGGGGAGGAAGATACCACCTTATTCTCCCTTTGGCCCTTTCTAGCCCCTTTTGCACTCTGTATGGAATCTGCATAGCTCTGGCATGTTTGTGTGAGTAACGTGTTTTGCTCCTGAAAATTATACCCTGCACTGGATGGAAAATCAGTTTTCCTCAGCATCATGTATGGCTCCATTTTTCCTGCATTATTTCAGCTAATAGATCATCTTATTTTATTAGCCATACACAAGGATCTTCCCTGTAGCTCAGATGATGAAGAATCTGCCTGCAATGTAGGAGACCCATGTTTGATCCCTGGGTCAGGAAGCTCCTCTGGAGAAGGGAATGGCAATCCACTCCAGTATTCTTGCTTGGAGAATTCCATGGACAGAGGAGTCTGGTGGGCTACAGTCTGTGGGGTTGCAGAGAGTCAGACATGACTGAGCGACTACTACTACTACTACTAGCCATACACAAATTTGAGTCCTTCTGGTTTGTATGACAACAGCATCTGTAGCCTCTGGCAGCAGCTTCTTATAGCACAGATGTCTCCTAAAAGTGAAAGTCTCTTGAGAAATGGGTCAAGAGAGTGGGCAGAGCCAAAGTGGCCTTGGTGAGAGGTCTACGCCTGGCCAGGGGGAGTTCACTTGTCTCATTTGCCTCCTAGATGGTGTTCTACATTGAGGCCTGTGAGTCTGGGTCCATGATGAACCACCTGCCACCCGACATCAATGGTAGGTGGTGGGTACACTGACCTCTGAGCTGGGCTGGGTGAGCACCATGGTCTGCAGTGCAATTGGACATTCACTGATTCTGCCTATGGGAAGAACCAAGTGTCTTATAGAAGCAGGGGCCTGGGGCAGCCTGGTGCCTAGAAGTAGGGAGATACCTGTGGGCAGCTCTGGGCTTCTACTTCTGGAGGATCAGTGGTCGGGGGTGACGTGATGTTGCTCTGTGGTGCTCTGCCAGGTTCTCTACCTAAGTCCAAAATTATAGTCTTTGGACTGGCCTCTGTCCTTTGTAATGTGTTGTTTGCTGGCTGTCTAATCTTGAACAGATGACTTATCCTCTTTTACTCTCAGTTATCCCCATCTATAAAATGGGGATAAAGATAGTGTCTGTTGGGAGAGTTACACTTGTTTTTTTGGAGAGTTACATTTTAAGTGATGACATTTATCCAGCATAGCTCTGAGTCCATGGTGGCTAGATAGTAAGTGGTAGCTCATAGATTCAGTCAACCTAAATGTTTCTCTAATATTAGTTAATGTTCTGTTTCTCTGGAAATGAAATGAGGTCCATACCCTTCAAGATTCAGCTATTCTGATCTTCTAGCAGTTTTCCAAAACAGCTTGATGTCCCAATAAGCATGCCTGCTCACTCATTGTAGCAGAAAGTGTCTATCGGTTGTCTTCTCTTTCTTCTACCTTTAATTTTAGATGAGTTACTGTAACTGAGTGAACAGGGCTAGATGTAGGGAGGTCACCCTGTCCTCCCTGAGCTGATCACAGGTGATGTGCTTTGATTGCACCAGGAGAGGAGCAAGAACTCAAGTTTCCAGGGGAATCCTCAGATAGCTGAGGATAAAACACGCCTGAAAGGTATCTTTAATTCCTTGCAGTTTATGCAACTACGGCTGCCAACCCCAAGGAGTCGTCCTATGCATGTTACTATGATGAGCAGCGGTCCACGTACCTGGGGGACTGGTACAGTGTCAACTGGATGGAAGATTCAGACGTGGTGAGCCTTCGGGGGCTGGCTGCTCAGTGGAGGCTTACATGTCAGCTGTGGTGGTCAGAGGGCTTGAAACGTTTTCACTTTTGCAGGAGGATTTGACCAAAGAGACCCTCCACAAGCAGTACCAGCTGGTGAAATCCCACACAAACACCAGCCACGTCATGCAGTATGGGAACAAGGTGAGTAGGGGCCTCACAGGCCTGACAACACCCAAATCTTAGGCTGACTCGCCGGGAACGTTCATCCCCCAGTGAAGAGAACCGGGATCCAGGCAGGTGAGGAATGGCCGAGGCAGGGCTGGCTCTGCCTCTCATGGCCACTCTGTCCTGGAGAGTCTGCTCAGGCTTTGGAATCAGACTCAGGTTCAAACTCACAAAGTTCTGAGGCTTGGGCCACCTACCTGTCCTCTCTGGGTCTCCGTCTCCTCCTTGGTCAAAGCCCTAGCGCGCAAGGTGATTGGGAGGCAAAAGTTAGCAGCACATCCCCAACACTAAACACAGACTTAGCGCCTGGTGAGAGGTTAGCAAATAATCTCATCCTGTGAGTGTTGTGGCTTTGCCCCCTGGAACCCCACATGCTGCATGTGTCCAGCCTTCCTGCACTTGCAGGATGTTATCTTGACCCATAGGCTCTAAATTAGAGACGTTTATCGCCTCCAGCTGTGAAAGGACCTAGGTGGTCCAATAAGTAAGTCCATCAGGGCTGTCCTGACAGAGTCACATTAGGTGGCTGCTGAAGGCTTGGGCCTCAAGTCCCACCTGTGGGGCCAGTCCTTGGGATGTGCAGAGGAGGTGATTGGGGTGGGGGGTAGTGCTCCCAGTAGTCTGTATGACCAGATGCCCTCCTCCAATGGCCTGCCACCATCTGAGAGCTCACCAGCCGAATTCCTTCGATATAAGCATTGGCCTTCTAGAAGAACTGGTGAGCCAGTCAGTCCGGAAGTCCTTTAGCACTTCCTGGGCAGCGTGTGGATGGGAGGGCCCTGGAGCCAGTCACAGGCCATGAGACATGCACTCAGGAGGCTGTGTGTGGGCCTGGTCAGGCTTTTGAGAGGTGGGTAGTGGAGTGGAGGAGTGGAGAGAAGCCAGGGAAGGGTGACTTGGGGGAGGCAGGGTCGAAGATGGCACCGTGGCTTTGTTGAGGGATTGGATGGAGGGGAAAGTACCAGCAGCAGCTCTTCTGCCCTAGGCTTTCTGTTCTCTCTAGTTTTCTCAGCATTGGCCAGGTCTGCTCTTGGTTGAGGAGGTACGAAGGATTTTGATTTTTTGGCTGTGCCACTTGGCATGCAGGATCTTGGTTCACTGACCAGGGATGGAACCCATGCCCCCTGCATTGGAGTGCAAAGTCGTAACCATTAGACCACCATGGAGGTCCCCTAAAGAATCTTTTCTAAGCATTATACTTCTATATATTTATGCCTGTGTTTCCCGGGTGGTGCTAGTAGTAAAAAACTGCCTGCCATTGCAGGAGACAAAAGAGACATACATTCAATCCCTGACTCAGGAAGATCCCCTGCAGGAGGGCATGGCAACCCACTCCTGCATCTTTGCCTGGAGAATCCCACTGACAGAGGAGGCTGGCAGGCTATAGTCCAGGGGGTTGCAAAGAGTCAGATACAACTGAAGTATCTTAGCATGCACACGTATTTTATTTTTTGTTTTAGAGTTGTTTCTAAATTAGTGTTTTGGTAATTAGTGATTAGTTGCTTGGTTTAGGAACATGATTGCTTGCAACATTTCTTTTCCTCTTAATTGGGATTCAGTCTGCAGTGACCTTTGTGGGCAGACAGAGCCAGGCAGTCGGGCCTGCTTGTTAGACCCTGATGCCAAGTCAGCCCCGCACCCCCCAACCCACACCCCCCACCCCGTGCCCCTGTGGCTTTGGCTCTCCCATGTCAGTGGACTCAGACCTCAGCTCTAACCCGCCAGATGCTCTGCATCTTCCTTCTGTCACTAGGGTCAGGCTGGTGAGCATGGGGGTGGTGGTGACACAACCCAGCATCACCCGTGGCTGAAATGACTCTGGTCCAGGCTCAGCAGAACTGGGGCAGTTCTGCTGCAAAGGGTGCCAGGCATCTTCAAAGTTCATCATCGGTGGATTTCAGGTGCTCAAATGCATCACCTCGCCCACTGCTGAGGACTGAACTTGTGCTTTCAGGCTGTGACTGTGACCCTTCCGTGGTCCCAAAACCACGTGGGGCGAACTTGGACTCCAGGACCCGGGATACGTTTGGCACCTCTGCTTCTCCCACTCAAACCAACTCTCTCTCCCTCCCCAGTCCATCTCTGCCATGAAGTTGATGCAGTTTCAGGGTATGAAACACAAAGCTAGCTCTCCCATCTCGCTGCCCCCCGTCAGTCGCCTTGACCTCACTCCAAGCCCCGAGGTGCCACTCACCATCATGAAAAGGAAGCTGATGAGCAGCAACGATCTGCAGGAGTCCAGGCGTCTTGTCCAGAAGATCGACAGGCATCTGGAGGTGAGTGGTGGCGAAGTTTCAGGCCCAGCCTCTCCGGGGAGCATGTGTGAGCCCCATCTGCCTCCTGACCGTAGTTCCGTGTTGGTGGGAACTAGGGGACGGAGCTCTGGGATCACCCTCCTCCTACCACACGGGAATATATGGGAAACAAAACTTTCCTTTACTCGCTATGAAATGGACACACATGAGCAGGAGAGGGGCCAGCTTTATTCTTCCTTGATAAACTGGCCTTGACCTCTTTGAAGCAGGAAGCAAAAGGAGGGGACCTGTCTTCTGCCAAGAAGCCAAGGCACATGGGTGTTTCTTTATTTACCCCTAGTTGCTTAGGAGACATTTTTTACTTTGCTGCTTGGTGAGTGAGTAGCTAATCATATTAAAAAAAAAAAAATCCAGCCCACAAAAAATTTCTGCTGGCTTAGGAAATCATAGTCACTGCCCCAAATTCTTCCTAAAATTCTTGAGCAATCTTACAATAACTGGGTTTGTTTTCAATAGCTCATCAGTTTGTTTGGAACTGGTGAATTTCTTTTCAAATTGGAGCTGTGTGAGTAGAACCACCAGGAGTGTACTCTCGAGACACCTGGCAGAGACTGACTGTCCTTCCAACAAAGCCAGCTGTGCTGACTCTGCCCACCCCACCCATGCCCCCATTTCCCCCACCCCCCCGCAATCGTCACAGCTCAGGAACTGATGTGCTGGGACACGGCCTGAATTGTCTAAGAAAGAAAAAAAAAAAATGTAAACTGTCTTAAATGCATGTATCTCATGATTCTGACAGTTAGCTACCCCAGGATGGTTTCTTTTGTTGTTATCACAGTGTAATACAACAGTTCTCGTATTTTTTCCGCTTAGACCTTTTTACACGCTTAAAAGTATTGATCCCAAAGAGCTTTTGTTTTTGTGGGTTATATCAGTATTTACTGCTTTAGAAATGAACACTGAGATTTGTAAAACATTAACTCATTCAGAAGTAATAATAAACCCATTTTGTGTTAATATACTTTTTATAAAAATGAATTATTTTCTAAGATCAAAAGAATATGAGTGAGAAGAGTGGCATCACAACATTTTTTGCAATCCTGTTTTGTGCCCGGCATAATAGACGATAGCTTGATCCCTGTTCCTGTGTCTGCATTCACTCTGTTGGGCTCTGTAGTTCTGGCTGAAATATATAAAGAAAGTGTAGCCTCACACAGATACATAGCTGAGAAAGGGAGGACATACGGAGCCCCCAAGAAATCTGGGGCACCTCCGTGGTCCTAGACGACAAGTTGAAAACTGCTGGTCTAATACACAGAGGGCAGGGAATGTTTGGGCATGAATGGAACAAACCCTGGCTGGGGAGTGGGAGGGTCAGGGGACTCGATTATATATTTTGGATGATGTGGAAGCAGCTGCCCCTTTGCGATGCTGGTTTTCATCATCTGGGAAGAAAATGATGCCCTCCCCCTTTGTGTCATTCTGTCTAAGCATCTGCTGGTTTCTAGAATGGACAGAGGTGCCTGTGAACACACAGCACCGTTTATGGAACCACAGTCTACTTTGGGACACAATTTCTATGCAGCCCCACCCCTGCCTCCTCAGTCTGGGCCATACCTGCTCTTCACGTATTTAGATTTAAATACTCCCATCATGCCAGAAGATCTCTAAGAGGCAAGGTATTTCTGGAGGTTTCTAGCTGTAAAGAAGCCTTGTGTGCACATCTTTTGCCGCAGAAAGCATCTGTTGGCATCTCTGAACATAGTGGAGTGGGGGCGGTGTGAGAGAAGCATCTAACCAGTCCAGGGTTCTAAGAGAGACTGTGTTAAGTGTAAAAAAGTAAATGTCGCTTCACAGGCCAGGAATATCATTGAGAAGTCAGTGCAGAAGATTGTCACCTTGGTCTCAGGGTCTGCCGCCGAGGTGGACAGGCTCCTGTCCCAGAGAGCCCCGCTCACAGATCACGCGTGCTACCAGATGGCCGTGTTACACTTCCGCTCACACTGCTTCAACTGGCACAACCCCACGGTAAGCCCAGACCCCGGGGCCGCCAGCCTCTGCTCCCCGGTTTCCGTGGCCAACTAGCTTGGCCTTCCTCCGCACCTTCAACTCCACACCCGAGTTAGTGTGGTCCACTGGGTATCAGACCAGGTACATTGCCTTGTAGAAAGTTCCATGGTGTAGAAGGAAACAGCAGCAGACCCGTTCTGTGGTCTTTGGTGGGATGTGAGAGGGGGAACGTCATCCAAATTCACTGACCTCCGCCCCCCCCCCCCCCCCCCCCCGCCCCCCGAGTCTTGGTCCCAGACACTCTTAACTGTCCCAGTGGCTGGGAGAGTTTACCAGTTATAGACGATTCATCTCCCATTTCTGCTGGCCTTTGAAGGGGACTTCCTTGTCTTCACACTAGGCTTTCCTTGGCAAGCCCCACCCCTAACCCATGCCCCTCACACCAGCCACACAGGTTTTCTCCCTTTTGGGTTTGTTCTGACCTCTTCCCAAGATTTGTTGCTGAAGTCAGTCCCTGGTGCATGGAGAAGAAAGTACCTGGTTTCTGCAGATTGTAGAATGTCAGGGTTGGAAGGTACCTAAAAACCCCTCTTTTTTTGGTCAGTACTTAGATGATGCTTGGATCCTTCAAGGAAGGGGTTATTCGCAAACTGTGACCCACCAGCCCATTTCTGCCCACAGACTGTTTTTTTTCTCCACAGCCTGTTTTTATAAATAAAGTTTTGTTGAAACATAGCCATAGCTATGTGTTTTATAGATAAAGTTTTACTGAAACACAGCCACAGTTGTACTCAGTCACACGGCATCTCTGACTGCTTTCATGGTGCGGCTGAGTTGAGTAGTTCAGAGAGCCCACAAAGCCTCAAATATTTACTATCCAGCCCAGGACAGAAACGTTTGCCAAATCCCGCTTTAGACTTGTGCTCTTTGATACTGTGTAGCCTCTAGCCTCACTGTGTGTGGCTACTTAAACATGAATGTACATTCAGTAAATGAAACAAAATGGAAAACTCAGTGCCTTAGCCACAGTACCCACATTTCAAGTGTTCAGGAGCCACATGTGGTTAGCGGCTACTGAACTGAGAATGTTACAGAATATTTTTGTCATTGCAGAAAGTTCTGTCTGGGCTGTGATATGCAGACCATGATCACCCTCCAGTACTTCTGACTCTTTGCGACACCATGGACTATAGCCCAGCAGGCTCCTATGTCCATGGCATTCTCCGGGCAAGAATACTGGAGTGGGTTGCCATTCCCTCCTCCACGGGATCTTCCCCACTCAGGGATTGAGCCGGCATTTCCCACATTACCTGCATTGGCTGGCAGATTTTTTTTCCAGATTGAGCCACCTGGAAATATTATATTCAGGAGATGGTTCACCATTATTAAGAGAATCTCAGTTTTATTTTTCACTTTTTAACAAAGCAGTCTCTTTAATAACTTTAAATTTTCCATTTTCAAAGAATACTTTATCATTGGATGTTACTTTTTTGCTCTTTGGAATCACAGAAAGCGAATCTCCTCTTTCTTCTTCTTGTGAGGTCATAGATTCCCTTGAAGTGCTTTTTAAGAATAACATCCCCAGTTATTTCAGTCTTCACTGCCATCTGGTTTAGCATTCACTTAACCATACCTCGTCAGTTGTTCCAGACCAAAAGCCGGGCTGCCAGAGGAGGTTTGAGCTGACAGAGGGCCGCAGGGCCAGGAGTTTCTCATCCGGGAGTCCTTACCTGGACTTGAAGGAGCTATAGGATTGCTGTAGAGTGCTGCAAATCTCCTGTGCACGTGCATTTTTCCTGGGAGGTGGTCTATAAATCGCACCAGATTATCCAAAGTTGGGGGAGGGGATCCCTGACTCAGTAAAGGTCAAGAACCACTGGCCTAATTTTTTTTTTGGGGGGGTGGTGTACCAGGTGGCTCATGGGATCTTAGCTCCCCCACCAGGGATCAAACTCTGGGCCCTCATCAGTGAAAGAATCCTAACCCCTGGACCTCTAGGGAAGTCCCAAGAACCACTGGTCTAGATGCTGTATGTATTCCCAAGTTAGGAGTTGATTGTGTTATAAAGTGATGATGTCTGATCATGTCATTTTGGTTTGTTTTCCTCTAGTATGAGTATGCTTTGAGACATTTGTACGTGCTGGTCAACCTTTGTGAAAACCCTTATCCGATTGACAGGTAAGCCAGCACCTGGCGTTTAAAGGGTCAGTGGGGGTGGGAAGGTAGGGAGGTGGGGTCCTTCTGAAAGTAGAAGGGTGTCTGCAGCTTTGCTATCCCCTTCTACATGTGGGTAGTTTGCTTCTGCTGGCTTCTGCCTTTCACTGTGGAGGAATTCAAGACAGATGCATCCCCAGGGGTGCTGGACTGGGTGGGTCTGTCTTACACCTCTCTGTTCCCTGGTGAGTTCTCTCTGTCTTCATTTCTTCTGAGTTGAATGACTTCCAGCTCACCACCTTCTTCTTCCGGTTTCTTACAGAATAAAATTGTCCATGAACAAGGTGTGCCTTGGTTACTACTGAAACACTGCCTCCTTGAAGCTTTACCAAATGTGATCACCGTCCCTTAGAATGTGTGCTGATCAGAGACTGGAGAGCTGGAGCCTGAGGGAGGCTCCCGTCCCCCAGCCCCAGCGGCTGTAGGTCCTCCCAGGGATGCGGTCAAGCCACCGGAGCCATGCTCCAGGCCTCTCCCAGGATGGCTTGCTCACCTTTACCTACTTCCCCCAGCACCTACAGGTCCTGTGTGATCCTCTGAAAAGCCCAGAGACTTGGGAAGCTCAAGCTCTGTGTTGAGAAGGGTGTGTTTGCTTTTTAAGAGGGTGTTTTGCCCATGACGTTTAAGGAGGAAGAAGTTCACTGGGACTTCTGTAGCCAATGAAAGAGTCTTTGTTCTGCGGAATCTGACGTCAGAACCTCTTAAGTCTTCACATGATTTTCTGGAAGAGGGACACAAACCCCAAATGGAAAACTATTTTTCGAAAATAGCGTACTTTTGGATTGCTTTTATATTTTATTTGGGAGTAATGGACAAGTCTAAAAAATAAAGATTTATCACTGCATCTGAGTATGAATTTCAGGTCCCCGACGTCTTAGTTTATGTTCCGGGCCCCTCCTAGTGGAGCCCTCCGCCATCCGTCTGTCTCCTGTCCCCTTCCCCGCCCCACTGGTTGGCTCTTCCTGCCAGCACCCCCGTCCCCCTACTAGCTGTACGTTTCAGCCTCCTGTGCCTTTGTTCCTTGCTGTGGCTGTACCCTGGAGCGCCTGCCCCTCCGCCTGGCCCGTCCTCAAGGTGTATCTGAAAGTGCCCTGTCTTCCTCAACTTCCTGCTCTCCTCTGTCTGTTGGTATTTGCATTTCCCTTGGATCCTTTCCAGCACGTGTTGGGGTCTGCCATACGCCGCACATGGGGTCTGGGAGGTTATCTTTGAGGGCAGAGGGTGCCTGCGTTACCCTTGTTTCTCTTGGCCTGGTGTCCCACAAGGGGTGATACCCACCATAGCTTTGTGAAAGACATTTAAAAGGAACACTAACTCTCCCCAGGCAGTAGAATATTAAGCAGCAACAAAAAAGGATGAAGCTCTGATACAGCTCCAGCATTTAGCTTAGGGAAAGCAGCCAGTTACCTAAGACCCCTGTATTACATGATTCCGTTTGTATCTAAGGTCCAAAATAAACAAGTCTACTGAAACGGAAAGTAGATGCGTGATGCTGGGAACTGGGGAGAGGAAATGTGGAAATAACCAATGCTAATGGGGATGTGGATTAAAGGAACACTAAACCAGGACACTTGTGACCACCTCTGTTTATGTAGTGTCTTCTTTAGCAGTGATAGATGCCTTTAAAGTTTGGAGGTAGAGACTGAAAGTAGAGATAGTGTCAAACAGGGTTAATTCCAGGGTGATACTTCTGTTTCTAATGGGCCTGTTTTTAATCAGGTTATCCTTTCTCTGAGGCTGTCTTAATACAGTCAATCCTGTGACCAGGATAAAGAACTTTTACTGTCCTGCGAATCTAGGGGAGCTTTAGGGTTTTAACAAGTACAAGAAGCATATGGTGTTTAAATATTTATCACTAAAGCTCAAGAATGGGCAGCCCTCAGGGCTGACTGATGTTCAAAAAGTAGAATTTTTAAAAGGAGTCTCTTAAAACACAAGATCCAGGTAGGGAAAACTCTGTCCTCTTTCCTAGAACTGTTACCTGCGCTTGTAATCCTGCTTCCCTCTTTTTCTTTGTCCTCCCTGTAGAACAAAAATATATTTAACTATTTAACAAGTGCAGAAACTTGACTGTTCATGGCTCTAGAGGTTAAAAGAGGCTTGTTCATTTTCTCAAATAAATGACAGTTTCCTAAGTCACACTGCCTTGACTTTTTCTCCTCCTCCTGTGGTTCTTAGGTCCCCAGTGGAAGGAACTCTCCATCCCTCAGGTTAAGCCATTTTCTATTAGATTTCTGATAAAGGTGACCTTTCTATGTGTATCACAACTAGGACCAGCATTTTGCTTCCCTAGTTATATCCAAAACATGTTCTATCATAAGAGGTACAGAAACTTTAAAAGCAAAACATGGCCACTCCCTTTCCCCCCCCGCCAAATCCCAAATAACAGTTTGTATTCATCATTAGAATCCCCTTTCTACATATTTACATACCTAAATACAAAGGATACTTTACTTTTTCACTATAAAATGAAAGCAGATCCAGAAAACAAGTACAATGCTTAATGAATGCTGAGATGAAGTACCCTTGTAATTACCATCCAAGTCAAGAAATAGAACTTTACCAGATGCATGAGTTAAGATTCTCCTGAGAAATAGAAGCAATGGATGTGTATACATATAGAGACATTCTATATACATACAGAGACATTACCTGAAGGAATCAATGACTGTGGAGGCTTAGTAAATAGAAAATTGCAAGCTGGAGACCCAGAGGAGGAACTGCAGTCCAGGACTTCCCTCATAGCTCAGTTGGTAAAGAATATGCCTGCAATGCAGGAGACCCAGCTTCAATTCCTGGGTTGGGAAGATCCCGTGGAGAAGGAAATGGCAACCCACTCCAGTATTCTTGCCTGGAGAATTCCATGGGCAGAGGAGCCTGGCAGGCTACAGTCCATGGGGTCACAAGAGTAGGACACGACTTAGCGACTAAATCACCACCATCACCCATATTACAGAAAGTCATCTGCTTTGCTCTAAGTCTCCTCATTTAAATGTTGACATCATCCAAAAAAAAAAAAATCCTTCACTACAGCATCCAGAATAATATTTGACTAAATATGTAGGCACCATGGCCCCGTCAAACTGACACATAAAATTAACCATCACACTGGCCGCCGTGGAAGGCCCTTCTTGTGCTCCATCCCAGTCATCGCTCCTCCCTCCCAAAGTAGCCACTCTCCTTGTGTTCTCTGTGGTTTTAGTACAAGTGTGCATCCCTGGACACTTTTATAGTTTTTATTCTACAGATTCTCTCATCTTTTTTTTTTTTTGTTTTCTCCCTTTCCAATTTCCATTGAAGAGTCCAGGCTGGAGATCAGTGGAGTTTCTCAGTCTGGGCTTCACTGATTGCATATATAAGCTGCTGCTCAGCATGTCTTTATGATGCCCAGGTCTCTTATAAATTAGCAGCTGGATCCAGAGGATTTACATATTTCTATGGGTTTCAATCCATTGTACTTCTCTACGGAAGCTCAAGTTGTCCATTTTTGGCTGAATGAATGAAAGTTGTTCAGTCGTGTCCAGCTCTTTGCAACCCCATGGACTATACGGTCCATGGAATTCTCCAGGCCAGAATACTGGAGTGGGTAGCCTTTCCCTTCTCCAGGGGATCTTCCCAACCCAGGGATCGAACCCAGGTCTCCCGCATTGCAGGTGGACTCTACCAGCTGAGCCAGCAGGGAAGTCCTGGTGGACTCCCAGGGTGGACTCCCAAGCCCTTTCAGAGGTCAATCCTAAAGGAAATCAACCCTAAATATTCACTGGAAGAACTGATGCTGAAGTTGAAGCTCCAATACACTGGCCACCTGATGTGAAGAGCCAACTCACTGGAAAAGACCATGATGCTAGGAAAGATTGAAGGCAAAAAGCGAATCAGGTGGCAGAGGATGAGATGGTTAGACAGCATCGTCAACTCAATGGACATGACTTTGAGCAAACTCCAGGAGATAATGAAGGACAGAGCAGCCTGGCGTGCTGCAGTTCATGGGATCATAAAGAGTCAGACACGACTGAGCAATTGAACAACATCAAAGTAGATTAGTGGTTGCAGGGAGATAGGCAGAGGAGAATGCAGTCCTGAGTCCGTGACTGACAACCCAAGCCCTTTTGACATGACGCTGAGAAACTTCCACCGCTTCCTTCCTATCTAGTGTATCAGAATGTTTCAGTCTACATTTCCTGTCCCAAAGTTGGGATCAGCTATTTCTCCAGGAAACTGGCGTCTTCATGAGACATTGTCTTTTAAGACAACAGTCTAAATGCTAGGAGTGCTCACTGCTGCTGCCTCCAGCCCGGGCCCTCCAGTTCTGTTCTATGTGGGTACAGAATTTCTAGACTTGCTGTGCTGCCAACCAGGGCCATTCAAGGGACCTGACCGGCTGCCCCTTTGGCCTCACCTCCCACTACTCTTTGCTTCAGGCTTTATGTACACCTGATCTGGAAATGACCAGTGACTCTGCATACAGCACACTCCTATTTCATTTTCTGTGATTTTTCACTTTCTTCCATCTTCCTCATCAAAAACTGTTAAGAGTCAGAGATTTTACCCCACCTACACGATAACAAGGTCACCTGCCACAATGTTATACGTGCTGGCAGGAGATACGAAACTCCTGGGACCACCACAAGGGACTTCATCACCCTCAGCATCCAGGTGCATGTGTTTCATATTTGCTGCCTCCCCTGGCCTGCCAAGTGCCCTGAGGGGCATGCGGAGGTGGGCTCTGGTAGATGCTGTCCACACAGTGCATCTGGATCAGGTTGAGAAACGTCCGGCTTAGGAATAAGGCTGTGAGCAGACCTGTCCCACTTTGGCCCTGTCGGAAGAGACATATTCTTTCAAAGTGAGAGACATTAGTTAATTATCTTGGTCAGGAAAAAAAAAATTGCCCTCTTCCCAGGAGAAAGCAACTGTATCTTCCAAGGCTAGTCAAATACTCTTTTTTAAAAATACTATTTTGTTGTTGTTGTTGCACTGTTTAGTTTCAGCAAGCCAGATCATTGATCTTTATTGTGCCATGCAAGATCTTCACTTGCAGCATGTGCAATCCAGTTCCTTGACCAGGGCTCGAACCCCTGCATTAGTAGCTCAGAGGCTTAGTCACTTGGCCACCAGGGAAGTCCCTAGTCAAACACTCTTAAGAAGATAGTCTGGAATAGAAGCTGTCAATGAGTCTTCACCAGACACGCAAGAGCACTGTGGAGAGTTCCTGCAGTCTTCAGGGGTTCTTTGATTCCCTTCTACTCCAGGCCAACTCTTCATTCTTCAAGGCCCACCTCAGCCATCCTCATTGGCAGGAAGCCATCTGCTTCCTCCAGGTGGGTTACGTGCCCTCCACTCGCTCAGGCACATCCTGTGCTGACTGCTCTCATTAAACCAAAAATATGCACAGCTGCCCCCAGGAGTGAGTTCATCTGGACTCCCTGTAGACCAGCAGTTCCCCAGCCTTTTTGGCACCAGGAACCAGTTTCATGGGAGACAATTTTTCCATGGAGTGGGGATGGGGAGGATGGTTGGGATGGTTTGGGGATGATTCAAGTGCACTACATTTATTGTGCACTTTATTTTTAACCTAATGCTACCATTAATCTGACAGCAGGTACCAGTCCACAGCCTGGAGGTTGAGGACCCCTGCTGTAGACCATATGACAATGTGGAAAAGGTGTCCCTTTCTCCAGGTGGACACGGTCCTGTGCCAGGTGACAAGTGGGGCCCAGCCTGGGTTTCAACTCCCGGGTCCCCTCAGCCATGGAGCCTTGGCTATGAACAACTCCCTGCCCTTATGTCTAACTTTGAATTTATTTCCTTTTATCAAAAGATCTGAGGCTTTCCCTGCCTGCTCCCACCTGAGAGCTGGTGTGATCCCTGAGACAAGCCTGGGAGATGGGGAAAGAATCATTCTTATTTTAAGAATGGGGATACTGAGGCCCAAAGGTGTGAAGCAGCTTGCTAAGGGCTCTAAGCTGGCCTGGGATCCAGGTCTCCTGACAACCAACAGAGTTTCCTCCCACCTTCCAGCTGAACAGATTTTCTGACTTCGAAGCCAGATCCGAGTTCCCTTTTGGCCTAGGGTTGTGTCAGCTGCAAAGAGATGATTCCTGGAAGGGCACTCCGAGGAAACCGCTGTCTTCCAGCAAATAGCGTGACAACTGGGGATGAGGCAAAGCCATGGCCACTGTGAGTCAGAGCTTTCTTCCCCAGAACCAGGCTCCATATGACCTTCCTGCAAAGGGAGGGCCTGGTTCCTGCCCAGCTTCTTCCCGCTTTCCAGGCCAGATGACCCTGCAGAACAATGGGTGGCTGGTTCTTGGATTTAGGCCAGCTGAGTGCTCGCAGAGTGCCCACATTTGCAAACCAGCGAAATGGTCTGTGGGGGGAAGGGGGGGGCACGTCTCCTCTGTACCCACAAGACCCTCTCCGCCTCTTTCTGCCCCTCCTCTCACCCACAGCCCCCCGCTCCTCTCTGCCCACTTCCTTTGCAGTCTGGTCCCTTGTTCCCCAGCTGAAGCCTGCTCCTAACTAGGGAGAATGCGGTCAACACATGGTCTTGTGAGGCATGATGGGCCAGGTGTCTGCAGGGCGGGTTTGGGACTGCTCATGACCGGCAGGGCTTTGCACCCAGTTGTCACTGCTAGGACCTGGGGACGGAGGAGCTGTAGGGCCTGGCCATGTCCTGGTCTCCGCAGATGTTCTCGTAGCTTCTCTCAGCACCGCTGGCCCTAGCCCAGCCTCAGACTGGGGGGTGATGGGGAGAGGCCAGTAAAAGCAGAGGGAGGGAGCCAGCCGGCCAAGAGCACAGGGGACAAACGCCAGGGATGAGACAGGCCCAGTCCCGGTTCTACGTCACAGCCTGTGGCCCCGTCACCCTCGGACACGCTGATTCCTTGCTCAGGGCCCGTGGAGAAGCCAGGTCGCTTCACTTGCATCTTGGACCTCTGGGTCAAGTAGGCCCTGTGATGCTCACCATGGCCTCAGGCAAGCTCAGAAATGGATCTGGCAGGTGAGGCTCATCTGACTGGTTTTCTACGAACAGGTCACTCGGGGTGCTGTGTGGGGTGAAGAGAGCCCTGAATTTGGGGGTAGGTCAGCTCTGAGTTCATTCTGGCCTCTAACCAGCTGTGTGATCTTGGGCAAGTCACCCCATTGTTATGGGCTGAATTGTGTCCCCTCCAAGTTCACGTGTTGAAGCCCTAAGCCCTAGCATCTCAGAATATGCGTGTTTGGAGACAGGGCCTTAAAGGGTTGCTAAAGGTAACGTGAGGTCACACAGCTGCGCCCTGCTCTAATAGGACCTGTGTTCTTATAGGAAGAGATTAGGGATGCTCAGGCCCAGAAAGAAGGCTGTGTGGGCAGGCAGCTGTCTGCAAGCCAAGGAGAAACCAGCCCTGATTTGGAACTTCAGGCTCCAGAACGGTGAGAAAATGTCTGCTGTTTAAGCTGGCCCATGTGTAGTATTTTGTTAAGATCACCAGAGCAGACTAAATTCTCCCCATTTCTTTGAGCCTTCACATCCTCATCCATAAATACCTCCCACAAGAGGAGTCACTGACCAGCGCCAGCCACTCATGAGGACTCAGCCCTTGCAAGGCCCTGTTTTTCGACCCTGGATGAGGCCCGCACACCCCACTGGGCAGAGAGGCCTCCAGACCCCAGGATCCAGGTAGCCCCACCTGTCCTGTTCTCTGGCCTCTCCTGATGGGAGGGCTCCACACACGAGCACACACGTGCACATGCACACGTGGGGTTCTTACAGTGGTGCCCTGGCCCAGGTCGCTGACTGGCTCTGCCCGCTCCCCAGGAGCTGGACAGAAGAACCCCCCTGCCCGCCGCCAGGGTTGGACTGATGCCCAATCCACTGTCTGAATTCCAACCCCACCCCAAGTTTTGGCCCCCCTGGGCAGGAGGGTGCTTGGGTAAATGGACCTCCGTCTGACCCATCCCCACCAGTCTCAGGCCTAGTGGGAGGCAGTGGGCACCCTGCCTTACGGCTGGGGACCCGAGGCAGCACAGTCAGCTCAGCTTCGGACTGCAGCAGGCATCGGAAGATCAGGAAGGGGACAAGGTCTGCACCAGGGGATGGCGGAGGGAAGGGCAACCTGGGATCATGGCTGGCCACCCTCAGCTTCTGGGTATTTGCCTGTTTCCTCATGTCTGTTATAAAGATCCCTGGCCTGGAAAGTCCAGGGCTGGCTGGCTGCATCCAGGAGCAATCCCGGCATCTGACACAGGGCTGGCCTGGAGCCACAATCAGAGAGGTTTGTTGATCAGCTGAATGAGCGGGTTGCCTCCCAGGAATATAATTCAGGGAAGTCCAGCTGCCCCGCCCGTGGGCACGGCTCACTGCCCTGAACGCTAGGGCTGCCCGTTGTTTTGTTCTCTAGTGACTCCCAGGGCCTAGAAGGGTGCTGAGATTGAACAGGCACTCAGCAAGCATATATTTTTAATCAATGCTGAGGATGGACCCAGATATGAAGGGTCCAAATCTGGTGGAGAAAGCAGAAGTACCAGCAGATGCAATTCAATGAGCTATCTCCTGTGACAGAGATGAGCCCGTAGGGCTGGAGGACACCGACAAGGACTATCTGGCCGGCACCCTAGGAAGTCAGAGGCGGCTTTCTGGAGGAGATGGGCTTTGAAGGATAAATAGGAGTTTGACCAGGCAAAGATGGTATGGAGTGGTATCCCTGGGATAGGCAGCAGAGGCAGGAATGACGGGAAGTGTGGGTGCGAGGAAGAAAGGAAATGACCAGGCTGAGGGGCAGACAGAGCCCAGGGCCCTGAAGGCTGAGAGTGTGCTGTGCGTGCGTGCTAAGTCGCTTAAGTCGTGTCCGACACGTGACCCTATGGACTGTAGCCCGCCAGGCTCCTCTGTCCATGGGATTCTCCAGGCAAGAATACTGGAGTGGGTTGCCATACCCTCCTCCAGTTCAATCCAGGGGTAACTCGTGTTTGTCTCCTGCACTGGCAGGCAGGTTTTTTTGTTTTTACCACTAGTGCCAGCTGAGAAACCTATAGATTCTGCCAAAAAAAATAGAGTGCTCAGAGGAAAGGAGGTGCTTTTCTGAACCTCACCTTAGAGGGGGATTAGGCTGTTAAACAGGGGGCCTGGCTGCCTGAGCAGATCTAGCCCTTTGAGAAAAGAAGATGCCATTTTCAAAAGGGCTTTTATTAAAACACTCCCCACAGTGTCTCTTGCCACAAACGCCACAGTCCTGGGGTGCTCACCAAGGAGAGGGCCCTGAACAATGTCCCCTGTGGCCAAGGCTGGGCTCGTCCACGTAGCTGTGAAGCTGGCCTCGCTCAGAGGTCCCACTGTACGTCTGGCTGCTTCCGGAGGGGCTGGGGAGCTACGGGTAGCACGCAGAGTGCGGATGGCTGAGGGCTGGCTCTGACGCAGGGGTGAGGGGCCTGTCTCCTCAGGCACCCTGAGATGCTCCTGAGATGCTGGGCTGGTCCAAACCAGTCCAGCTCCATGGGGGCGGGGCCGCTGTGGCCAGGCCACTCCTCCTGAGGACGGTCCTGGGGAAACCTGAGCCCTCCCAGGGAAAGGCTGGGGATCGCGTGGGCATGGGGTAAGGGCGGGGGGCGCGGGACAGACAGACTGGCCTGAGGGGCTGTGTGTGAAAAGGGGCCGAGCTTGGGCTCTGGGTGCTGCAGGGGGCTGGAGGGTCCTTTCTCTCTCTGAGTTTCCGTTTCCCTTTCTGCCTAATGAAGGACGTGGCCTCTCCTGGCTCCCGCCCTCCTACTGGGAGCACGCCGGGGCCACGGATCACGTTGTTTACACAATGCTCCTGCCACGGTGGCCCAGGCGCGCTCAGTAGGTTGCAAGCACGGGGAAACGTGTGGGCATCCCTGTTGGAAGTGTGTATATGTGTGCGCGCGCGTCTGTGCGTGTGCATGTGTGAGTGGGGGCGTCTGAGTGTGAGTGTGGGGCTCGAGGGTGCAGGCCGGTCGGCCGGCGTCCCCGCCTGGGTGGACACTGCCGTCGGAGGGGCCGCGGCCCCGGGCTCACAGGAAGTTGGGCTCCCGCACCACGAGGCAGGGCGGGCCCCCGCTGCCCCCGCCGCCGTCCAGGGGCCGGTACACGAAGTGGAAGTCGCGCTTGGGCTCGCTCCGCAGCAGGTAGCCCTTGATGCGGTGCGGCAGCGCCTCGTCGGCCAGCTGGAAGCAGCGGCCGTCCACCAGCACGAAGAGCCGGTAGTCCTGGGGCTGCACCACCTCGAACTTCTCCGCGCACTGGGCGCACAGCGCCTCGGCCAGTGTGTCCGCCCGCGACGCCAGCGTCCGCGACTGCTGCTCCGGCTCCAGGTACGACACGCAGATGAAGTCCTGCGGGGCGAGGCAGAGGGGGTCACGGTTATCGGCGGGGCCAAACCCACGGCCTGTCTCACCCTCGCCCTGATGTTGGGAGCTTGGACAGAAGCTGCGTGGCCTTGTCCTCTTTGTGCCCCCCGATCCCTCTCCATAGACAGCGGATGGATGGCAGGAGGGGTCGTGAGGCTGGCCGTCGGGGCACCTGCGGCTGGCGCTGCTGTGTGACCTCAGGCAAAGACCCTCCCTCTCTGAGCCTCAGCTCTCACTGGGTCAGTCGCTTGGCCTGGAGTCTGGACAAGGAGTGAGCGCGCCCCCCTGGTGGCCAGTCCGTGGGCTTGCCGTCATTGAAAACTATTTTTCACTTTCTCTTCTTCCCGGAGTCCCCCTGCATTCCAAGCACTCTGCTGGGCACACGGGGCAGCATAAATAAAATCAAAGATTCAGACCCGCCCCCAGCATCCCATGGCTCAGCTGAAGCAGCTAAGGCAGGCTGAACAGTTCAGGCCCTAGGGCTGGAGGGGCCTGGGGATGGGAGTGGTGGTATTCCCAGGAGCAGGCTAGCAGGGAAGGGCGGCGGCGAAGACTTGGGGGAAAGAGAGGGGGAGTGCTTGCACAAGACAGCACACTCACACCTGGGTCCACCAGAGGCCGTGGAAGGAGCCCCTGCCTGGCTTCGAATCTGCTCCCACTTACTGTGTGACCTCGACCTCTCTGAGTCTCCATTTCCTCAACTATAAACTGGAGATAAAACCAGAAGTCCATACTCTGTGCCTGGGGGTGGAGCACAGAAAACTAGCTCAGAACCTGGAAGATTCCCCTTTCCCCCAAGGGCCCAGAGGGCGGGCAGGAAGTGTGCGTGCAGGGCTGCCCCCTTGTGGAAGGATGGTGAGAGCACAGCGGGCTCCTGATGACGCCGCCTAGTTCAGAAAGGAGATAATTAATGACTACAGAGCAGTGCCAGGCTCTGGGTCAAGAGTCCCTGGGATCACTTCTTTTTTCTCCCTGAGAGGGGAAGGCCCAGCCCACTTCCCTGGGTCTCAGTGGCTGCTGTGCTCTCCTCAGCCACCATCAGGCCTCCCCAGGGCCCTTGACATCCGATGATTCTCAGGCTCTGGGCTTTGGCTCCAAGGGTAAGGATGTGCGGTGCAGAGGAGGCGCTGGGAAGAGGGCAGGCGGGGGTGCCCTCCTCAGACCCCAGAAACAGTGCTGATAAGTCTCATCCCAAGCCTCTTCCTGAGCTTTGCCTCCTTAGTGGGAGGCACTGATGCTCAGCATTGGGAATCCACGAGGTAGAAGCAAGAAGGAAGGAATGCGAGGGTCACCCTTGGACCAAGAGCACTCATATTCCAAGAGTTGGTGGAGGGGCAGCTGCCCCAGGAGGCAGGAGGGAATGCTGGTGTGCTGCAGCTGTAATCGCCAACTTAAGCTGGCTCATACCAGCTTGAGAAAGCCAACTGTGTACATCTCTTCCCAACTCCGAGTTCTGTGATGCCAAGTTAGTAGCTTGAAATCAGCCATGGTGGCGGTATTGATAGCAATACCATGGAAACTGACAGAAGCAAAGATCAGAGCCTTTTTTTTTTTCTTTCTCCCCAGAGAACCAGTTACTAAACATTATCAAGACACCATTGACTAGAGAGGAGGGACATCAGCTTGGCTGATGTTAGAACATGTACTGGGGAGGCAGAGCTCAAATGGTCCAAAGTCCCCCTGTGCTGATAGGAAAACTGCGTCCCAGAGAGAGTTAGACACGGCTTGGGGTCACACAGCAAGCTAGTACAGAGCTGGGTCCATACCGTGAGCCTCTTGCCACCCAAGCCTGGGCTCTCCGAGTTAGAAAGGCCACTTGGAAAGCAGCCAGGCATGGGCTTCAGGTCCAGTGTGCTCTGGATACCAGGGAAGTGAGTCTGTAGACCTATTCACAGCTCTGGACTGCAGCTTGGTTCACTGTCCTAACTCCTGCCATTGTGCATACTCCCCAGGCCCTGGGCTTGGACCCCCTCAGCATGTGAGCAATAGGGCCTGCTCTCTCGCGGTTACAGCTTTATACATAGATGGTTACAGTACAGGGTATCTGTGCTGCAACAGAAGAAGTAGCAGCAGGAAGCACTTCTAACCCACGCCACAGGGAACGGGGGGCAGGTGGGGGTGTCAGGGAAGGCTTCTCAGAGGAGGGGTTGTTGGAGAAACTGAGGATGGGCAATGGTAGCCAGTGAGGAAGGGGAAATGGACCAGCATGGGCAGAGAGGCTAAGCCCTAGGGAGTTGAGCTCAGCGTGTTCAAAGCTGTTCTTTTTTTTTTTCATAGCTGTTCTGATGCATGAGTTTGAGTAAGCTCCAGGAGTTGGTGATAGACAGGGAAGCCTTGCATGCTGCAGTTCATGGGGTCGCAAACGATCGGACACGACTGAGCAACTGAACTGAAATGAATTGATCTGATGCAGCCTCGGGGGTGTGGGATAATGGGAGGGGTCGGGGCAGGAGTCTGGCCACCAGTGGCTTTTGAACCCTGAGTCTGCACAGACAGAAGTGGGGAAGGATGGGTGGGTGGGTTGGAGAGGGGCAGGCTAGGGGCAGGGGGACCCTTGGCAGCTGCTGCATTTGTCTGGGCACCGAGTGGCAAGGCTGTAGATCAGCTCCCGGGGTTTTTAACTGGGACAAACCACTGTTCCCATCTCCAGCCCTAGCAGCCTGCTCGGACATCACAGACGCTGAGGAACGGTGGGTGAAGGTCTCCTTCTTCCTAGCCTTGTCTTGTGTGCCCAACTGAAACGCCGATGCTCGCTGATACATCTCTAGTCTCCAGCCCTCAACTTGTCATCCCCAGCCCCTAACCCGGCACACACTGGCAGGCCCGGGAGCTCAGGGCCACTGCTCCTCACGTGGACGCCTTCCAGCTCCCGGGGGGCTGGGCGGGCCGGCCAGAGCAGCCAGTTGGCGGCGGCAGGCTCCAGAACTGGCAGGCAGTAGGGATGGTCTGGGAGCAAGGTTCCCCGGCCCCCTCCCACCCTCTCGGTCCCAGGCCCCACCTGCACGGAGGAGCGGGAGGCCCGAGCCTTGTTGAGCGTGCGCCGGCGCTCCCAGCGGTGGATCGAGTCCTGCACCTCCACGCTCAGCTGCCGGGTCACCGTGATCTTGTCGTAGTTCTTGATGTGCTCCAGGGCCCCGTAGGTGGTGGTCAGATAGTAGGAACCTGCAACAGGCAAGGGTGTGGAGCTTGAGCCTGGACCACCGCCTCCACCCACCCGCAAAGGCCGGGAGCCCTTCCAGGCTCGGCCCGCCTTGCCCACCTCTCCAAACCCCACCCACCGCCGCCGGCCCGAGGCACGTGCTGCCTGGAGGTTGGTCACTTGCTGAGATTCAGACCCATGTCCACCGCAGAATCAAAAGCTCCCTGAGCCGTAAGGCTCTGCTCAAAGCTTGTCTCTGGCTCCCCTTTGGGACGCAACTCTTGCTTATTTTTAAACTGATGCTTTAAAGTGAGTTTTTAGTTTTAAAATGTAAAGATACACAAGAAACTGACAGCCATGGATGTCTTTAGGGTGGGGAAAGCAGTGCCTTCAAGACATGGGCAGGCAGGAGACCTCTCTCTAGGTGTCATATAAATTTTATTTAAAAAATAAAAAACTTAAAAATATGTGGAGAAATGTTAATCATGTTCATATGATTACACACTTTTAATAATTTCAAGAAAGTAAAAAATTTGCATCCTTTGTTTCTCCATTTCTTTTTATCTTAATTCAAACATATTCCTAATACCTAATGTTTCCTAAGGTAATTTAATTTTTGAAATATGTCGTGCATGTGTGCTAAGTTGCTTCAGTTGTGCCCGACTCTTTGTGACCCTATAGACTGTAGCCCGCCAGGCTCCTCTGCCCATAGAATTCTCCAGACAAGAATACTGGAGTAGGTGGCCATTCCCTCCTCTTCTTCCAGACCCAAGGATTGAACCTGTGTCTCTTATGTCTCCTGCATTGGCAGGCAGTTTCTTTACCAGTAGTGCCACCTTCAGACTGAAAAATTTACATGAAGTTTTATGATTAAAGATAATAATTTGCACATATACTTATAAATTTACTCTCCTTGGCTTGTTGGAGGCTTTGGTTAAAATTCATGAGGAGCACTGGCATTGTAGCGCCCCTCACTCTAGAGGGGGTGGGGTGACTTGGCCAAGGTCTTGCTGAGCTTCCTGGGCTTCCCTCCCACTCACCAGGCCTCTCCTCAGTGCTGTGGGTACCAGGGCAACGATTTATTTATTCTTAGTTAAAATTTTTTAAAATTAATTTTTAAATTGGAGTATAATTGCTTTACAATGTTGTGTTAATTTCTGCTGTAAAACAAAAGTGTATCGATTATATGTATACATATTTCCCCTCCCTCTTTAGCCTCTTTTCTACCCCCTGCCTAATCCTACCCCTCTAGGTCATCACAGAGCACAGCAGTGATTTTTGACATGAGGGTCATCTGCCAGTGAGCTCCCCAAATCCCATCTTCTTTTTCTTCCTAATTAATTGAACTCTGCTTGTTTGGAGTAAGTAACACAACTGAAAATGCTCACTTCCCAGAATCTCTTTCAGTTTGAGGTACAGGTCAGGAGACCCCATTTTGGCTGCTACATAGATATAAGTGGAAGTCCCTGGGTGGGGCTTCCAGGAAAGCCTTTAGTAAGGGACAAACTTAGTTGATATATCTTGTCAGGTTTTGGTTTGCCTCCCTTCCTCCTGTCTGGAACACAGAGGTGAGCCCGGAGGCACAGCAGCTGTTTTGTGATCAGAGGTGATAGGCACAAAGACAAAGGTTCACATCCTAAAGAACAATGGAAAGAGCTGGGTCTACAATTTCTTGATGGCAGGGATAAAAACTGCCATCATTATCAGTTGCTTACCCCAAGACTTCTTTTTCTCATTCAGATAATTTATTAAGAGCTGTGTTAGTGAAATTTGGGCTGTCTCATCTGTGTGATATTGCAATATGCAAAGTCACATACACTCTAAGGAGACCCCACAGAATTGAGAAACCTTCAACAGTACAGAGTCACAGATTACAAAATTAAAATACAAATAATCCCCTCAATTTGGCAGGAAACACGTACAATATGAGGAGGCCCGGAATGGAAGGGCTCTTGCTTTTCAATAAGGCAGTTAAAAAATGGAAAAAAACAAAAACAAAAAACCAACCCCAAGATTTCTTGATGAAAGAGACAAACCAGTCCCTTACTCTGATTTAAACCATTATTGGTTATGTAGTGAGTTATTTGTAGCCCAAAACATTCCTAACTGCTACACTGGATGAAGCTGCCTACATATTGCTACAAATTCCACAGCCAGTGTGGGAAAAGTTCGCAGCCTGCCTGGGGTGAGTAGGGGATGAGATAAAGGGGTTTGTGGCCACAGGATCACTTGCCCTTTCATGGCAGTGCAGGAAGGAGACAGTTTTTGAAATAGGTATGTCAAGGCCAGGGCTTCCATGGTGGCTCAGCAGTAAAGAATCTGCCTGCCAATGCAGGAGATGTGGGCTTGATCCCTGGGTGGGGAAGAGTCCGTGGAGAAGGAAATGGCAACCCCTTCCAGTATTCTTCCCTGGGAAATCCCATGGACAGAGGAGCCTGGAGGGCTACAGTCCATGGGGTCGCAAAGACTCAGACACAACTTAGCGACTAAACAGTAACAAAAACAATATCAAGGCCAACATGGAGCTTGGCTTAGTGTCCCTTATCAGAGAAGGGCCAGCAGACCTCCCATGGGTCTCCTATTCCAGCCCAGCTCAAAGCCCGTGTGTTCCAGGAAGACTTCCCTGCTGCCTCCAGCCCTTGCTGGCCGAGAGTCCCAGTCCTCTAGCTGGCATTCCCCATGGTGCTTCCCATGGTGATCACATCCCCTGGCTGGTAAGGGGGGAACTGACTGCAGTGCGCTGACTGCGAATGTTCAGATTTGGAGTCACAGAGCAGGGTGCAGGTCTCAGCCTTCAGCAGGCAGCCCTGTGTTTCAGGTGAATTAGTGTCCACTGCCCTTCCATTTCCTCATCCACAAATCCCATCAAATGTAGTGAAAAGAGATGAACACATGTAACATGCAGTGCTCAGTAATGCATGGTGGTTAGGTGACCTAAGGGAGGTGCTCCGGAGGTTCCCCACCTTCTTGGGCAAAGGGAGGAACTCTAGCCCTGCCAGCACACACCTGCTTGCTCACGACCTGCTTTTCCACAGCCTCCTGGCTCTCCTAGACCACTAATCTTGGACTTGGGGTCCTCTGCAGTTCCCATCATGACCGCTAGGTGGCAGGTGACTCTGCACGTGAGTTTTGAAGCTGGGCAGTTGTCTTTGGGGAGAGAGTGCTCCTGATGGAAAAAGCTCATTGCCTCTCTTAAGATATTATTAGCTCAGCATGGCCAGCTGTCAGCCAGTGTGCAGAGGGGATGTGGGTAAAGGAATCTATGAGGGTGCTTCTGGGAGAGTTTGCATTTTGAGCTGGCTCCAGCCAGGTGCCCAGCAGCTGCCTGGGTCTCCCATCAGTCCTGTAATTGCCCAGAGTGATGGACGCTGCAGAAGGTGGGAGGGGAGAAAGGGGCCAGGGTCCCATCGGCCCAGTGTCCAAGTACTCTCTGCTTGGTGCAGGAAGTCCCTGATCTCCCACTCTCTAAAAGCCTGCTACAAGAAACTTGGACTCTGTCCCTGGTTTTTGCCAAATTACAGCATGTGAAACCAGTTGGAAGAACATGAAGGTCTTATAGGCTTCAGGTGAGTTCAGATCTGTCTGTTCAGCCTGTGAAACACAGGAAGGCGGAAGCCTGTTCCAACTTTCCTCCTGCCCCCAGCTGCTTCTTCAGAAGGCTGGAGTGCCCAGATGGTCTGAAAACCCAAATCTAGTCCCATGCCTTCCCTTTCCCAAGCCACAGAAGTTAAGTAGCTTGCCTGAGGTCTCCAGCCAGTGAGAGGCAGAACTGGGACCAAAATCCAGCCTCCAAACTGCTCTTTTTTCTATACTCTGTGTTAGTTCTCTGTGTGTGTGTGTGTGTGTGCGCTTAGTCGCTCAGTTGTGTCCAACTCTTTGTAACTCTTTGGACTGTAGCCCGCCAGGCTCCTCTGTCCATGGGGATTCTCCAGGCAAGAATACTGGAGTGGGTTGCCATGCCCTCCTCCAGGGGATCTTCCCAACCTAGGGATCCAACTCAGGTCTCCTATGACTCCTGCATTACAGGCAGATTCTTTATCCCTGAGCCATATGGAGTAATTGAAGTTCTCAAGAGTAGGGACTTCCTGGAGCCTGCCCCTAGTTAGGGCATGTCTGACTCTGCAGAGCACCAGGGGTGGGCATCTGCCAGCAGGGACTGAACCCAGGCCCTTGGCAGTGAGAGCGTGATGTCTTAACCACTGGACCACCAGGGAATTCCCAGACAAGCCCCTCTTTTTACTGTACTTCCGAGGCTTCGGTGATTTGGAGCACCCTTTGGGCCACCACCCAGTGAAGACAGGAGAGTAAAGCGGGGGAAACTCAAGAACAACCCCACCCCCCAGCCCCCGCAGTGCTCTGTCGCCTGCTCTTGGGCTCAGATATGTCTAGATGGAAGTCTGTCGGCTGGCAGACTTGGGTTACCCATTCTGGAGACCCGCAAATCGTCCTTCTGCTGGAGTCCAATGCCTGTGAGGCTGGGCTGTCCTGGGTGCTGTGACCTCCCACTCTGGCTCTGGGAGTAGGAACAGAGAGAGGGGCAAGGGGGCATGCATGCCACCAGGTCCACCTCCTGCCATTTTTCCTTCCAGCAAACACCCCATAAAATTCCTTAGAAATTTCTCCATGGTGCCAGAGGTGGGGCAGGGGGCCCTGACTCTTAAGTCGGTAAAGGGCTAGTGTGCAGGGTATCTAGGCAGTGTTTTGGGTCAGAAACAGTGACCCAAGTTTAAGTTCTTTATGTATTTATTTGTATTTGGCTTGTCTCAAAAATACTTCATATCGCCATGTATATAAAATAGGTAGGCAACAAGGATTTACTGTATATCACAGGGAACTTTAGTCAACATCCTATAATAGCCTATAATGGAAAATAATCTGAAAAAAAAAAAACATAAAACTGAACGACTTTGCTGAATACCTGAAACTAACACAACATTGTAAATCAACTATACTGCAGTTAAAAAAACAGTGCTTACTGAAGCCCTAAAACAGACTAGGTCTCCTGCCCACAGGATTCCAGCTTTCCCATCTGAACCCCCTCTGTGGGTTTCGGGAAGAAGAAGGATCTCAGGAGGTTATGGCAGGATTGAGAGGGGGGCGGTTCATGTCCATAAGTAGAGGGTAGTTGGGCCAAGGATGTCCCTGGCCTGTCCCCGCTGTGTGCCACCATGCCTGGAGTGGAGCCCTACTTGGCAGCAAAGATTGAGGCTGTGGATGGAGCAGGGGTCACTGTGGCCAGGGCATGGCTGACAACTGCCCTGGAACTGGCCAGCCGGGGCTCAGACCCAGTGCAGAGCCCCACAGCCTCGCTCCATCCTTCCACCCCGCAAAGGGATTTCCCTGACACTGTCTCTAAGACCCCCACAACAGCCCACAGGGCTGGGCCAATCCTCTGTGGCTTTATATGGTCCCCTGAGCTGCCAAAAACTCACAGGACTAGACACGTCATACTGTCACCCCAGAGACCAACACGGGCTAAAAAGGCAAACAGATGCAAAGAGGGCCAGCTTATCTCAAGAACCACAAAGCCCAAAGGGGCCACCGGGGGCCTGAGAGTCTCTCTCCATCCTTTGGGGGTGATGTCTCAGAGGGCGGCTCGGGGCTCCCTCAGAGCTGCTATCTGGGCTGGCTGCCCCTCAGGGATTCTTGGTGGAGGGGTGGCCGAGGCTAAGTGGGTGGAAGGAAGTGGTGGGAAGGAGGGAAAGTGAGGGTGTGACGAATTACACTCCCACCCTCCTCATCCAGGAGAGTGCATGGCCTCTTGTCCACAGCATTGCCCTCTTCCTACCAGCACTGGATGAGTGGCAGCCTGAGAGTCCCCAGGGCCAGCCCTGTCTAAGAACGTGACCATCTTTCCCTTATCGTTTATACTGCCAGCAATGGCTGTTCCCTCTGCGAAGACGGCCTTTTGTCCTTCTTTATCTGACTGGTCGCTGTTTATCCTTCGGTGCTCAGCTCAGACATCACCTCCTCCAGGAAGCCTTCTCTGATTGCACAGACTTAGTACTGTGCTCTGGTGCCCTCAGGGCCTCCCTTGACAAGCCTTGGTGATGAGGTCTCTTTACTGGCCCAGCTCCCCTGCTAGTCTGTGAGCTCCCCCAGGATAGGGACCGTGTCAGGTACCATGTTGTGCCCCAGGAATCTGGTATCCAGGAAGTTTGGGTTGAGCTGCCCAGTGAGCCCCTGGTGTGGCTGGGTCAGGGGTGGGCGATGGGCCCCGGGAGTCCGGAGATGGGTCTGGCACAGTGACTCACCCTCCCCCAGCTGCAGGGCGGGATCCATGAGCTCCATCATGTATTCCACGTTGAGAAGCATCTCTGTGAGGTTGCTGCGGGCCAGGACATACATGAGCACCGGCAGGAAGTCGTCTGCCCCGTAGGGCTTCCCTGGGATAGGAAGGAGGTGGAAGGTGGTGAATGCGAGGCTCTCCTTGGGAGCCACTCCCTGCCCAGGGCAAGGATCAGTGGTTTGCTGGGTGGGTGGGCAGTGGTCATCCCAGAAGAGGAAGCTTCCTGTTTTCTCCTGACTCTCAGGACACGGGGCGAGCCTAGGATCAGCCTCGTCAGAAGGCCTGAGACACAGCCTGGGTCTTGGAAGAAGGAACTGAGAAAGGTGCCCTCTGCTGGGTGGGCAAGATCAGCCCCTTCCCTTTTCCCAGCTCTTCCCCTCCACCCTCTTCAGTCAAGATCATGTCACATTTCAAGGACCCACCCAGGAGCAGATGTCTGTCTCAGAGGGATGTCTTCTGGGAATGCTCCCTGTCTCTGTGACCACGTCTCCCTGCCCACCTGCAAAAGCGAAGCCCTCCCTCGACCAGATGCCACAAGGCCTGAAGCTCCGCCTCCATCCTGCATTCTTTGGGGCTGTGTGGTCAGTCATGTCCGACTCTTTCATGGACTGTAGCCTGCCAGGCTCTTCTGTCCCAGGGATTTTCCAGGCAAGAATATCTGGAATGGGTTGCCATTTCCTCCTCCAAGGAATCATCCTGACTCAGGGATCGAACCTGAGGCTCTCTGGCAGTTCCTGCATTGGCAGGTGGATTCTTTTACCACTTAGCCACCTCAGTGGGAAGCCCGTCTTTTGGGTTAAACAGTGCCATTTCCTGAGGGTTTCTTCTAAAACATAAATACCTCTGAAAGGAATAATCCATTGCTACTGCTTTGTGTGGGTGGGGCGGGGTGGGGGGGCTTCCCTGGTAGCTCAGATGGTAAAGAATCTGCCTGCAATGCAGGAGACCCAGGTTTGATCCCTGGGTCAGGAAGATCCCCTGGAGAAGGGAATGGCAACCCACTCCAGTATTGTTGCCTGGGACATCCCATGGACAGAGGAGTCTGGAGGGCTATAGTCCATGGGGTCGCAAAGAATCGGACACGACTGAGTGGTCAGGGTGTGGTGGCCTTGAAAGGTGCTTTCTCGGAGCTACTCACATACACACACACACACACTCTCTCTCTCTCTCTTTGTGGAAAGTGTTCCTGGGCTCAGAGCTCCTGATGTGTCTTGGGGAAGCAGCGAGGTGGAGGTGGGCCTCAAAGATGCCCTGAGAGCCTGCATTGGTTTTTGAGAGACCGAAATGAGAAAGAGAATACAAAAGTGCTTCAGTGCCCACAGGGTGCAGTGGAAAAGTGAGCTATTATTGACATCTCTCTTCTGCTTTCTGAGGTGGCCTCAGTTTTTCCACCCGTAAAATGAATTGGTTGGTGGAGCTGGTAACACCCAGCGCTGAAAAGTAGAGTCAGACCCAGGGCATGAATCTCACTCCTTACCAGCTGTGTGACCTTGAGCTAATTGCTCTACCTCTCTGAGCCTGCATTTCTGGTCAAGTGTGAATGGACACAGACAGCATGACGTCCTATGAGGTTTTGGTGAGAATTCTGTGAAATGAATTACAGTGGGGTGCTCCAACACCGCCTCCACGGAGGTGTCCACTGAGGAAGAACACTGTTCCTCTTTTTCCAGGTTTGTGTTCGGAGGCTCTCTGGTCACTTCTTTCAAGTTTCCTGTGTCTCTGTGCACAGGATCAGTCAGTTTTGGAGAAACTCTTTCATAACCTTTCTGAGCCTGAGACAACTGAAGATTTCCAGGGGACATAGTACTTTGTGCCAGGAGTTTGTTTTTCATGTTGATAACTTAGAATTCTTGGAACATGGGAGATTCTTTTCTTGTTTGATTTATGAATTAGGGAACAAGGTGTGTCTGGCAACACGGATGTGAAACAGTCTGGTGCCCTTTGGAATTCACCTATAACTCATGCTGATTGAAATTTTACTCTGCTTCCAAGAATATCATTTTTTTTCTCTTGGTATTGTATTATTGGGTTGGCCACAAGACGGTGTGGAAACACCTGAATGAACTTATTGGCCAACCCAATGATAACTCGCCAAACACAATAATCAGGAAAGTTTATTTCGTTGAGCAGTGGTTCTCAACCAGGGAGATTCTGCCCTTTGGGGCCACCTGGCAATGTCTGGCGTTGTTTTTGCTACTGGCATACAGTACTGGCATACTGGGATGCTGCTAAAAACCTACAGTGCACAGAACAGCCCTCATAAGAAGGAATTACTCAGTCCCCAAAGGTCTACAGCACCAAGGTGAGAAAACCTGCTTGAGGGGACAGCGACATTCAGCCAGAAGGACTGTCCAGCTCTGGCCCGAGGTCTGAGCACTTAAGAGAGAAGGGGAAGGGACCCTCCAGACCTCGGCCTCAGGCTTTGCCCTCTTCTCTTTGTCCCCAGACTCTTGAGAATCTCGGCTGACCCTCAGGAAGGGCTCTGGGGCCCATCTCCTTGGTTCCCACGATTTTGTGTTCAGCCACCCCACTGCAGGGGACTCTTTAGACCTCATATCTCTTTGTCCCTCCAACTACCCATGAGCAACTTCCTCTCTGTCTCCCCAATGCACAGAGCAACGAGAGGCAGGGTGTGTGCAGGAGATGGTGCTGGCTAAGTGTGAATGAATGAATGCTGAGCTCCCACCAGGACCTCAGAGCCCGAGCCTGGCGCTGACTCAGACGGGCCTCTGCACAGACCCCAGGAGTCCTTCCCACACCACGAGGAACTCAGAAGGACAACTTCCAACTCAGGATGACATTCTGCCACCCACTGCCACACTCTGAAGAACACCCTACTGTGCTGAATCGCAGCTGAACGCCACGGGCGCTTTCACTATTCTGCGCCTTCACACACGGTTCCCTCTGCCTGGGCCGCCCTCCCTTCCTTCCTTTCCCTTACTAACTTCTCCTTGTCTTCCCACATCCTCAAAAGATGGTTCCTGCTCTAGTGCCCAGACCTTTGTTTCAGAGCCTGCCCTTCTTGTGAGCTGTGAGCGCCCTGAAGGCAGGGATGGAGGCTGTGTGAGCTTAGGAAAATCACTTAACCTCTCTGAGCCTCTGCCCCATCACGGCCTTTCCAGTCTCCAGCACAGGGCTTGGGATCTAGGACACCAACAGTGAGCTGGCGCCACATGTCCTCCCACAGTTGGGGTCATGGTGGAGGTTACTAGGATCCATTATGGGCCTTAGACAGTGGTGTGCTGGGAATGCTTAACAATGGGCTCTCCGAAGGAAAAAAGCTCTGCTTTGCAGGATTTGTCAATTTTCATGGCATAAATATTTCCCCCGTGGCCAACTTCAAGCTACCAACATGAACATGGAGCAGGGAAGAGACGCAGATGACTAGTTTCCGTGAGATGGTTCATACCATCACTGACTTAGCACACCAATGGCTTTGGATTCATCAAGTCCAATCTCACTATGAGGAAACTGAGGCTCAGGGATATAGAAATTTGCTCCAAGTCCCATGGTTGGTCAGTAGAATCTGGGTCTCTCTTCTCTGATGTGTGAGAAATAACCACACAGGCTCCCTGACCTGCGAGCTCCTTGTGGACAAACACAACTTTTAAGCATCATTTAAAGGCACTGGCTTCCAGCCAATATCCTGGAGATAGTGTCGCATTCTCCTTCTTAAAAGCCTAGAGCCCAAGGCTTAGGGCTTGGGGCTCAGCCCTGCACACAGCGGGGCCTCAAGTGATAAGACTGAGATGCTGGGGGCACAGTGGTAAAACAACTGGCCTGTGATGAGAACATCTGTCTTGGGTGGATCACAGATCAGTCCATCAAGCTGTGCCTCTGAGGGGCCCGCTGGGCTGCAGCCTGCATTTCCTGCTGATTCTGGCTTTCTTTTTTGCCAAAGTCACATCTGTTTTCCATCTGTAGATGTTGCAGGGAGCTGATTACATTTTGAAGAGCTGGCTGGGGGTCTTATGCATGTTTTCATCAGCTGGGAGGTTTTGGAGAAGAAGAGCTCTGATAAAAACACATTGAAGCTGCACACCTGGGCCACACAAACCACAAGGACTAGAAGGCCCCTGTCTCAGCCACTGAACCAGCTGTGCTTTCTGGGGTCACGCCTTCTGAGCCTCACTTTTCTTATCTGCAAACCAGAGATATTAATAATAACAAAACTTAGTCTGTGACTCAGAGCCCTGGTGACATCGAATGAGTGGCTGGATTAAAAACAAAGTTCCGTCTTCTAGGAAGCATTTTCTAAAAGAGGGGTTGGCAAATTTTTTTTCTGTAAAGGGCTGTGCATGCTAAGTCGCTTCAGTCACGTCCAACTCTTTGCGACCCTCTGGACTGTAGCCCGCCAGGCTCCTCTGCCCATGGGATTCTCCAGGCAAGAATACTGGAGCGGGTCGCCATTTCTTTCTCCAGGGGATGTTCCCCACCCAGGGATTAAACCTAAGTCCCTTACATCTCCTGCATTGGTGGGCAGGTTCTTTACCACTAGTGCCGCCTGGGAAGCCCTGTATAGGGCTGGATAGTAGATATTTTAGTTCTGTGGGCTACATGGTGGCAGAGGATGAGATGGTTAGATAGCAACACCGACACAGTGGGCATGAATTTGAGCAAAGGAGATATTCTTCACCAGGAGATAGTGAAGGACAAGGAAGCCTGGTGTGCTGCAGTCCGTGGGGTTGCAAAGAGTCGGACACAACTGAGCAACTGAACAACAACCACCACATGCTCTCTGTCCCAACTATTCAACTCAGCCATTGTATAAAAAGCAGCCAGAGATGCTATGTAACTGAATGGACGTGGCTGCTTCAACACAAATTTATTTATAAAACCAGGTGGTGGGCCAGAGTTGGCCTGCAGACCCCGATCAAGAGGAAAGAATACATCACCTTATCATAACTGCCCCTCGAAGTGTGCTGACTGGGCTCTTATGGAAAGTGGGTGGCTGTGCAACATTCCTGGGGCAGCTCACGACTGTGACCTGCTTTGGCCCTGACCCTCCAGCACCATTCCCACTTGAAGCCACTTCCTTCCTCCAGGTGGTTTTAACCCAAGACCCTCACTCCGGGTTTGCTGGCCCTGTCATTGCAG